GGACGTGTGGGACAATAACAAAATATCTAACAGTATCATTGGAGTTAAAGAAAGAAGGGGCAAAAGAGAGTGGAGATGAATGAGTATTTGAAGAAATAATGGCTGAAAACTTCCCAAATTTAATGAAAGACACCAACCTAGAGATCCAAGAACCTGAATGATTCCCAAACAGGAAAAACAAAAAAATCAATGTCAAGACTCATCATAATTACACTTTTGAAAAGTAAAAGACGAAGAAAAAGTCCTGAAAGCAGCCAGAGAGAGAGAGTGAGTTACTTGTAGGGGAACACAAATTTGAATGGATTTCTCACCTGAAACCACAAATTAGGAAATGGACAAGTATTTTTTAAGTGCTGAAAGAAAACTGTCAACCCGTAATTCCATATCTGGCAAAACTGTCTTTTCAGAAATGAAGGAAAGATAAAAACATTCACAAATGAATAAAAACTAAAAGATTTTGTGACCAGCAGACTTACCCTCAAAAGACTGGCTCACTGTTTGATAAATAGCAGTTTATCAAACAGAAAGGAAATGATAAAAAAAAAAAAAGGAAACTTAGACCATCAGGAAAGAAGAAGGAACAACACAAAGAGCAGAAATACGGGACTACGCAATAGACAGTTCTTTTCCTTGTGAATTCTATAAGTCATATTTGATGATTAAAACAAAAATTATAACACCCTCTGATACTCTATAATATTTAAAGTTGGGGAAGCCAAAGGGGCCCAAATGGTTTACACACTTCAGTAGAAGTGGTAAATGTTGACACCAGTACATTGTTGTAAGTAGCATGTGTTAACCACCAGAGGAACCACTAAGAAAACTATACAGAGACAAACCCAAAAGTACCATAAATAAAGATGGAATCCTAAAATATGTTCATGTAAGCTGAAGAAAGGCAAGAAAGAAAAAAAATAAAGAGGAATGAGAACCAGAGGAAGCAAATAGAAAGTAAATAATTACAGACTAAAGTACCAACATAGCAATAATTACCTTAAATGTAAATGATCTAAATACACCAATCAAAAGATAATGAAGTATTTTTTAGTGATAAAATGAGATATCAAACTATGAAAAGACCTGAAGGAACTGTAAATGCATATTGCTAAGTGAAAAATGCCAGTCTGAAAAAACTACATACTATATGATCCAATTGTATGATATTCTTGGAAAACCAAACTATAGAGACTATAAAAATATCAGTGGTTGCCAAGATTTTAGGGTAGGGGAAGGGGTGAGTAGCTGGAGCACAGGGCATTTTTAGGGCAGTAAAACTCTTCTGTATGATATTGTAACAGTGGCTACATGACATTACACGTTTGTCAAAACCCATAGAATTGTACAGCACAAAGAGTGAACCCTACTATAAACTGTGAATTTTAGTTTATGTGTCAATATTGGTTCATTAATTGTAACAAAGGTATAACACTAAGGCGAGATGTTAATAATAGGAGAAATTGGGGGTGGAGAAGGGAGGGAGTAGAGGGCTTATGGGAATTCTACATTCTGTGCCATTTTTCTATAAAGCTAAAACTCCTCTAAAAAATAATAAAGTCTATTAAAAAATCAGCTGAAGGGGCTGACCGGTTAGCTCAGTTGGTTAGACCATGGTGTTGTAATACCAAGGGCAAGGGTTCAGATCCCCATACTGTCCAGCTGCAAAAAAAAAAAAAAAGAAAGAAAGAAAGAAAAAAAGAAAAAAATATAGGTTTCTATATTCACCGTAAAAATTCCTATCCAGTGACCAATTTATCACTGTGTGGTGCTATGGCTAATGTTGGAATCCTGTCGACATCGCCAATTGTAGTCCTCTTAATCCTGTTCGTGATACCAATTGTAAAGCTACTCCACGCCAGTTGTCGGGCTCCTTTACCTGCCTGTAATCCTGCCAACTGGGTCAATTGTCGAGCTAGAGGTGGGTCTGGAGCTCACAGACCCTTCAAGGACATTAGAGGAATGCAAATGAATCATCACTGTGAAAAGATCGTGGAAGTGCTTATTTCCTACGCATTATACTCAGTCTGTTTTCCCCACTACATTTAAAACTAGGCTCTGTATCACAATAAAATCTTTAAACACACACACACACACACACAGGTCTATACCATTCTGAAAACTGCATTTTTTTTGTCCCACTTCCCTCCAAAACTATTCTCTCTTTAACAAGAAGGGGGAGCAAGTCTTCCTTGTCATGCTGTTAGAAAACACCCAAAGTCATGGCACCTTAATCTCCTGGTGAAGTAGAACAAATATATAAAACTGATATAAAGAGGCCTCCCCTCTATTCTTATCTGTCCAGTTGTGTAATTCCTGGCCAAGTGGGCACTATCATGGGACAGGTGAGAGGTCTTGTCATTGGGGGACCAGGCATCATTGGCATGTGGCCTCCCATGTGTGGCCTCATTCCAGGAGAAGGTCCCATTGGCATCACCCCAGGCAGAGGGCCCATAATTTGCCTCATGGGAGGGCCCCCATATGGGGTGCTGGCATCATACCAAGGTAAAGAGGACCCGGGAGACTTGGGGGAGGTGGGATCATTGCTCCTCCAGGAGGAGGAGCAGAGAATGGAGTAGGAGGTAACTTTTTCTTTGTTGAAATGCATCCATTTGTCAATCAGGCTCTGAGCCTGCTCTCCCATCCATTTCTGATAGTAGTCTTTCACATTCTCTTTGTGTTTCCTACCACTGCAGTATGTCTTTTTCACAGATGGAGAGTCACAGGTGAGGTACGTACTGCAGTAGTCACAATAAAACTTGGGCATGTTGCTCTGTAGGCTGTTGGCCACTCTGTCCTGCACCATCCTCAGAGTTATCTTTTCTGTTCCATTTATCATCCCTCTGCCAAAACCACATAGTATGATTACTATTACTATACCATCAGTCTTGAAGTCAGGTAGACCGATTTCTCAGTTCATTCTTTTTTAAAAATTGTTTTAGCTATTTTTCCTTTGCCTTCTCACATAATTTTAGAATAACCTTGTCTGTCTATAAAATCTGCTGGGATTTTGACAGGAATTGCATTAAACCTGTATATCAATTTATTATGCTGAATCTTCCAATCCATGAACACAGTATGTTTCTCCATTTATTTAGATCTTCTTTTATTTTTTTCATTGGCATTTTATAGTTTTCAACATGCAAGTCTTGTACATGTTTATTAGATTTACACCTAAGTGTTTCTTCATTTTTCCTTGAGGGATTATAAATGGTTTTGTACTTTTAGTTGTAAATTTTATTTTAATTGCATTGCTAGTACATAGAAATACAATTGAATTTTGTATGTTTACCTTGTATCCTAACACCTTGCTGAATTCACTGAATAGTTCTATTAGTTTATTTTTGTAGATTTCTTGGGATTTGCTACATAGACAATCATGTCATTTGCAAACAGAGGCAGTTTAACTTGTTCCTTTCCAATCCATATGCCTTTTACTGCCTATTCTTGCCTTACTGCACTTGGTAAAGAAAAAAAAATATTTTAACACTTGTTAAAACAGTAAGAATGACTTTACTCAGGATTATTGTGATAGGGGTCAAGACTATTGCAATAGAGAGATATAAGGCTCAACTTTGAGTAAAACAAAGATAGTTGGGCATTTATAGCTGAAAAGCAGAGTTGGCAGGGGCGTTCAGTAGATAAAATATTACTAAGAGGAGACATGAACAGTATGGGGAATTCTTGCTAAACTGACTTAGAATTCTTCCTGAAGGCAGGCCAGGTGATCAAGGGTGGGAGATTCTCTCTAAACTGATTTAGTAAGATTATTGCTAAAACTGGATGAGGCCTAGTCAAAAAGAGGGTTCAGGAGCTTGTCTAAAGATTGCTCAAGAAAAGAGTGTCATACTAGCTATAACTTGCTGCACTATGTCAAAAAAGACTGGTGGAGTGGACATCCTTGTTCCACATCTGAGGGAAAAAGCAATTAGTCTTTCAAGATTAAATTTATTGTTAGCCGTAGGGTTTTTGTAGATGCTTTTTATCAATTTGTGGAAGTTCTCTTCTATTCCTATTTTCCTGAGAGTTTTTATCGTGAATGGGTATTGAATTATGTGAAATGATTTTTCTATATTGATTGACATGATCATGTAATTTTTCTTCTTTAGCCTGTTAACATGGTACTGTAGGGGCCAAAGGAAGACATCCCCTGCAACTCCCTGAAGGTTCTCTGTAAAATCACCTGATAAACACATATTAATATGGAGAAGAGGCATAACAAATTTTATTATATCATAGTTTTATATGAGACAGGAGCTTTCAGAATGAAGACCCAAAGATAAAGGGATAATTGTCCATATCTACGCTTAGGTTCTATGAAGCAGGCACAGCCATGTAGAAACTGGACAGGAAAGGTAATGCTAATAGACTGAGTGGGGAAACCCAGCAAGGCCTGTTTGTTTAGGTTCTTCTTGGCCTTTCTGTGTAGCATTCCTTCCTCCAGGGTCTGGGGCAGGACCCTTTCTGGAATGGGGGTCTTATGACCTACAATCAGAGAAGATGTGTCAGAGAATTTCTTTATGGCCAGCTCCAAGACAGAAAGGCAAGGGGAGGATTAGAGTATATCAATGGCCCGCCTTGGGGAAGAGGAATTCTAGTTTCTATGACTTGCTTCAGGGGAGAATGAGGCCAAGAGACAGGAGGGCAGGAGAAAGTCAGGAAAACATTGCTTTTGATGCTGCTTCTGAGGTCTTCACTTTGGGGTGTTGCTTTCTGAGTCCCAACAGTGTTTAGGTCATTGACTTTTTTTTACATGTGTGTGGCTGGCAGGTACAGAGATCAAACCTGGGACCTTGGTATTAGCACCATGCTCTAACCAACTGAACTAACCTGCCAGCCTTAACCCACTGAACTTTTTTTTTTCGGCAGCTGGCCAGTATGGGTATCCAAAAATCCACTGACTTTTAGTGTAATTCTGACCTATCTTTGTCTGCCATTTTATCTTTTTTTTTTTTTTTCCTTCCTCCCCTTTTCCTCCTCCTTCCTCTCTTTCTCTTCCTTCCTCCTTCTTGTTCTTGTTCTTATTCTTCCACTCTATAGCGCTATCCAAAAACAAATAACCAGCTTAGTGTTGAATGTAAACCTTCTTTTCTATCTAAACTTTTTTCCCAGCCTTCCTATGGGTTATTTGAACATTTTTTAGAATTTCATTTTGATTTATTTGTAGTGTTTTTGAATATATCTCTTTGTATAGCTTTTTTGGTGGTTGCTATAGGTATTGCATTACACACATATGCACTGTGATCTGCCTTTTGCAGAATATATAATATTTGTTGATTTTTAAAATTCTAATAAATATTAGATAGTGCCCTTAAAGATTGGGAAATTGATGTCAGCTGATCAAACTTCAGTGGGAAGATCTCCTCATATTTAAGATTGTTCCTCAAGTCAAGAGAAGTGTGAACTGGCTGCAAGGTCAAGGCATTTTAGGCCATTGGAATCAACCTCCCGAAGGAGGTGCTATTAAGATTGAACAAGTATGGAATGCTAAATATGTAACATTAGGAAGGCCAGGCAATGATCAAGCATAAGAAACACCAGCCACGGTGCTGGAGCAAGGTCCTGGAGGACACCTGCTTGGCCCATTAAGCTGCTGTTTTGTGGGAAAGTCTGGAGGGAGCCTGGCGGGAGGAGTAAGAGGGCTGCCAGTGTAGTAAAGGAGCACTTAGGGCTTTGGGTGATGGCTGTTTACTAACCAGAACAGAGAAAATCCAATACATACCAGAGCATACATGATGGTACAGGCCCTCGGACTGAAAAACATTACCGTAGGTAAAGTGTTTAGCACAAAGCCTGGCACTTAGTAAGTGCTCAATTAATGGCCATTATTATTACTACTACTTCCGCTTCCTCCTCTCCCTTCTTCCCTCTCCCCTTTCCTCCCCTTTTCCTCCTCCTTCCTCTCTTTCTCTTCCTTCCTCCTTCTTGTTCTTGTTCTTATTCTTCCACTCTATAGCGCTATCCAAAAACAAATAACCAGCTTAGTGTTGAATGTAAACCTTCTTTTCTATCTAAACTTTTGGCCACTCATGAGACTAAACTCAAGGTCCCCTGACTTTCTTATGTTTCTTAGTGTCTCAGTAACTATTTTATGGTTTAGGCCAAAAGAAATACTCAACTCTTCTATTTATTAAGTAGGTAAGCCCAAACAACTACTAAATGTGCTGACAACCTAGTAGCCATTTGAAAAAAAATACACATATTTCCTCCCCTTTTCCTCCTCCTTCCTCTCTTTCTCTTCCTTCCTCCTTCTTGTTCTTGTTCTTATTCTTCCACTCTATAGCACTATCCAAAAACAAATAACCAGCTTAGTGTTGAATGTAAACCTTCTTTTCTATCTAAACTTTTGGCCACTCATGAGACTAAACTCAAGGTCCCCTGACTTTCTTATGTTTCTTAGTGTCTCAGTAACTATTTTATGGTTTAGGCCAAAAGAAATACTCAACTCTTCTATTTATTAAGTAGGCAAGCCCAAACAACTACTAAATGTGCTGACAACCTAGTAGCCATTTGAAAAAAAATACACATAAATTGAAAGGCAAAATAATATTTTTATCTTATTCTTAAATAACTAATGGATGTGTGTACCTGTTGGGCACTGCACAATTTCCCCAACCCTGGAATCAGGTTGGATAATGCTACCTTATTTTCTGTTCCGCATGATTTTGGGTGGTACTTGCTCTTTATCATAGCAACCACTAAAAACCCAACTCTGCAAAGATAGGTCACTGAAAGGAATGTAACATGACCTAATGTTGAAACTGTGAACTACCTTGAGATAGTAGTTCACACAATGTCCAAGAGATGTTGCTGTGTTTCTTTTGAAAATTTAAAATGTGCCTGGCACCTGTGAACTTGTTGCAATGCCCCATTGTGCCTTGGTACATGGTTTGGAGAACTATGGAACTAAACAGCAGATGCACCTTTAAAGGTAGTAAATACTAATAGCTGGGGTCATCTAAAGATTAATGCACTCAAGGGATCAAGGTCGGTATGTCACTGGCTTTTCTTTGGGATTCACAAAACAAATGATTGGACTGACTGCCAGTGAATCACAGCCCACCAAAGCTTATTTAATTTGTTGGTTTTGAATTTTGAAGAGAAATGAGAATACCTTGGATAAAAAACAGCAATCCTTACTTTAGGTCATTTAGGGCATTCTCTGCTTACTGAAGCCGAATTATGCATTAAGAGGGGTAAAGTATATTGTGTTAGTTTTTCATAGAATAAATGTTTTAATTAATTATCAAACTCCATCCTTTTTTTCCCCTAAAATTAGATTTTTGTATCTCTGATATATGATTGTATTTTCTTGATTCCTTTTAGATCTACACTTGGGGTATAATGTTGACTTATCTTCTGTTTGAGAAAGGAAATCACTGAGGGCCAGCCTGTGGCTCACTCGGGAGAGTGTGGTGCTGATAACACCAAGGCCACGGGTTTGGGTCCCTATATAGGGATGGCCAGTTTGCTCACTTGGGAGAGCGTGGTGCTGACAACACCAAGTCAAGGGTTAAGATCCCCTTACCAGTCATCTTTTTACAATTAAAAACAACAACAACAACAACAAAACACTGTTTTTAATAGAATTAAGGAACTCTAGAACATAAAGGAATTTTTAGGTAAACTAGGACTCGACTAGGGCTCTCCTCTTATTTTGCTGATGAGAAGAAGTAGATAGCATATAGTTGGATCCCATTTTTTCATCCAGTCTGATAATCTTTGCCTTTTGATTAAAGGGTTTAATTCATTTATATTTCACATAATTATTAAGGGTTGGATTTACATCTGTCATTTTGCTACTAG